TTTTAAAACTATTTTATGTTAGATTGTGTTGTTATGAATGACTTATATGCACAGACGTGTTGTTCAGCCACTGAAATCTCCTGGTTAAAGATTGTTGTGATTATTTTCAGTTTCATAAGGTTCTTTGACAGCATCTATAATGTAGATTTATATTTAGTTTAACAACAAAACACCAGTAAATTCCACCTAACCTGCTTTACTGAGCTGAAGTTGCTTTTATATTCACATTGGGTCATTTTTGAACAATGACAGCCTTCCTATACTGTTTACCATGCTACCTTGAATATTCGTTCTGAAATGCCCAGTCGGAGCCGGAGGCGCCGAATGACAGCCGAGCTCGGGCCGATTACTGTAAAGCCAGGCGCAGGTATAATTCGCTCTTAAAGCGGCCGCGCGGTCACGAGACATACCGGGAGAAATCAAAAGCTGAATTGAAACTTTTAAAAACCTGAATCAATATTGGAGATACTTTAGCACGCTGGAGGAAGGACGACACCATGGCTGGAGTATCACTGTTAGACAGGTCATGTTCTGTTTTAAAACTATTTTATGTTAGATTGTGTTGTTATGAATGACTTATATGCACAGACGTGTTGTTCAGCCACTGAAATCTCCCAGTGAAAGATTGATGTGATTATTTTCAGTTTCATAAGGTTCTTTGACAGCATCCTTAATGTAGATTTATATTTAGTTTAACAACAAAACACCAGTAAGTTCCACCTAACCTGCTTTACTGAGTTGAAGTTGCTTTTATATTCACATTGGGTCATTTTTGAACAATGACAGCCTTCCTATACTGTTTACCATACTACTCTGACTATTCGCTTTGAAATAGCGTGTAAGTAATAAATGTAATTCCTGCACGGCGTTGGCACTAACTAACTGGCGAATGACATGAACTAGTGGGTTGTCTGTCGGCTGTTGCGACGCGGTGCGCGCGCTCGCGATTTCAGGGGGTGTGGCTTTGAATCACAGTCCCTCCCCGCCGTCCAAAGATAATATGCTAAGCGGTTAGCTTTTTGCACCTTTAATTGTCTCTCCCTTTTTTAGCACTTTATGAACTGACATCTTACATCTTTGGAACACTCTGTTCTGATTGGAGTGTATTGAGAGTGTATTTTTAAGGCTTGGTTGTGTTTATAAGATGCAAAGCAGTGTGTGCTGCATTTGTAAAAAAATCACGTTATTTTTAATCATATATCTTACTCTGATTATACAACTATCCATCATAGATTATCCTTAACTTATCATTGAAGTGTCAGATTAATGTAATCATGTTCATGTAGCTTGTGTTGTACATTGCAGTTATATATGGTGCTTTCTTTAGAGTGCGCTGATCTTTAAAGACGTGAGAGTAAGAGGTTTTTGGGTGACCCAGTGGAAGAGAGACAACAGACACGGTGAGGACAAATAAGATGTGCTGTTGCTTGAGGATTGAACGGGTTTGATCTAATGACTTCCCCTTTTGATAGATGATGAAGCCTTACGACACATGCTGGATGAACTCTGCATCCTGATCCGCGCTGGGAAACTGTCGGCTCCAATCTGCACACAAGTACAGCTTCAAGACTTCCGGAAAGCTCTAGAAAACGCCATGAAGCCGTATGTGTCCACCAAACAGGTTTTTGTCATGTGAATGCAACCCCAAACACATGTATAATAAACATGACATCAAAGTCCAGTGAGCGTTATCAGGTTGTCAACAGGGTTTTGGCAATGCCTTTGATTTTGCTGGTATTTATTATATGCTGGGAATTTATGAGCATCATAATGATTATCAGCATGTTAGTCTATATTGAGCACTCACTGATAATCAAACATGCTCAGAGCTTGTGTTGTTGCCGTTTTGCTTTGTCACATGAGCTCAATCAAACATGTAGATCTTCATATCGTGGGTTTGTGTTAAAGATACACACTAGAGTGTGATCTATAAAACACCGGTCATTGACTGAACGATAAAAGAAAGGCAAGATGTCTTTCCTTATATTATTTAGAGCAAAGTTATCAACACATTGTCAATGTTAATGAATATAAAGCATTTGATAAAAATTGGCTGATCGTTTTGTCTTTTATTGGAGAAAAATATTAATGACATAATTATAATGGCCTCATGACATTCATGTTTATTACAGATTTATGACAAGTCTTAATAACGTCAATTTGCCATAAAGACATCTCAATCAAAGTCATCTCTGCATTTGAAATGGCACTTAATAGCTAGGCGAATGACACTTAATAATAGGGATGTAGCGGTATCAGAATTTCACGGTACGATAATACCTCTGTATGAATGGCACGGTACGGTATTTATTGAATAATTTACAGGAAAAACAAAACTAATGAAAAGACTCGAAAAAAAGTGCCAAACGTGTTTATTTACCTTAGCACAACATACATGACAAACAAATTAGCCATCTATCTGTGTTTCGAAACAGGAATTTTTTTTTTTCAATTTTATTAACAAAAAACTATTAAACCATATTAAAAAAAAAAAGTTTCAATTTAGTATTGTTGAAAACTCATCACATTCAACATTTAATCACTCACAGAGATGGGTTTTTTAAGGAAAATTATCATATAACTATAATCTGGTAAAAGCTGGGATCTCTGGGCATGTCCCCTGCAGCAGAAAAAACCCCTCTCATTTGGGACTGAGGTTTCTGGGACAGAAAGAGTGAGATAGAGGTCTCTTTGCGGTACAAGTCAATGTCTGCATCAATCTAACAAGTGTGCTGTGTTCTGCAGTCCCCATGACTGTTTTTAGTCGTATTCCCCGACTTATATTTCACCACAGTCTGGCAGTGCCTGCATACTGTTTTTTCTTTGTCTGTCACCTTTTCTACTTTTTCATATCTTTTTAGAAAGAAACCGAAATGCTTCCACACATCCGATTTAAAAACTGCTTTAGGTTCGATTATTTCCAGCTCTTTTTCTTCCCCGCTACTAGCAGCACACTCCATTTCCACATTACTGGATCTGTAGTGAAAACAGACCGCAAAGGATGATGGCCACGCCTAGGCTGATGGGAATTGTAGTTCCCGCTACCTCCCGTTCGCTTCATTCGCCTGAGCAAACTTTTCTCAGAAATATAGTTTTATTGAGTCATGCGCCTACGGTAATATTGAAAAAAATTACTATTGCGGTATGACGGTATTTACAATATTGTTACATCCCTACTTAATAACAGTTGTCATAAACATGTATAAAATCATATTGATATTTATGACGTGTTATGTTGTGATTATAAAGGTGTTGTGGCAGTCTTATGGCTTCTTCCCAAGGCTTTTGCCTTTGATTGATGAAAACACACAACTATAATGTCCTCATGACAGTCATGTTTATAATAGATTTACGATAAGTCTTGATTATAGTCAAGTTGACAGGTTATGATGCGTTTATGTCAAGTTGTCATAGAGACATCTCAACCAATGTCATCTCTGCATTTAAAATGACATAACTGAGCTGATGACAATTAATGATAGTTGTCATAAACATGTCTAAAATCTCATTCATATTCATCATGTGTTATGTCATGATTATAAAGGTGTCATGGCAGTCTTATGAACACCCCCTTCAAGAATAATCTATTTCTTTGTCTTTTATTGGCTTTTGCATTTGACCGATGAAAGCAGACACAATTATAATGGCCTCATGACAGTCATGTTTATGACAGATTTATGATAAGTCTTTATAGTGTCAAGTTGTCAAAGACAGTTTGTGATGTGTTTATGTCAAGTTGTAATAAGCAAATCTCAACCAATGTCATCTCTGCATTTAAAATGGCAAAACTGAGCTAATGACAATTAATAACAGTTGTCATAAACATGCATAAAATCTCGTTCATATTTATCACGTGTTATGTCATGATTATAAAGGTGTCATGACAGTCTTATGAACACCCCCTTCAAGAATAATCTATCTTTTTGTGTTTTATTGGCTTTTCCATTTGACTGATGAAATAGACATGTTTAAGACAGATTTATAAGAAGTCTCGATAATAGTCAAGTTGTCAAAGACAGGTTATGATGTGTTTGTCAAGTTGTCATAAGGACATCTAAGTCAATGTCATCTTTGCATTTAAAATGACATAACTGAGCTAATGACAATTAATAACAGTTGTCATAAACATGCATAAAATCTCATTCATATTTATCACGTGTTATGTCATGATTATAAAGGTGTCATGACAGTCTTATGAACACCCCCTTCAAGAATAATCTATTTCTTTGTGTTTTATTGGCTTTTCCATTTGACTGATGAAATAGACATGTTTACGACAGATTTATAAGAAGTCTCGATAATAGTCAAGTTGTCAAAGACAGGTTATGATGTGTTTGTCAAGTTGTCATAAGGACATCTAAGTCAATGTCATCTTTGCATTTAAAATGACATAACTGAGCTAATGACAATTAATGATAGTTGTCATAGACATAAAATCTCATTTACTGTATATTCATGACGAGTTATGTCATGATTATAAAGGTGTCATGGCAGACTTATGAACACCCCCTTCAAGAATAATCTATTTCTTTGTCTTTTATTGGCTTTAGCATTGGACAGATGAAAGAAGACACAATTATAATGGCCTCATGACAGTCATGTTTATGACAGAGTTATGATAAGTCTTTATAGTCTCAAGTTGTCAAAGACAGGTTGTGATGTGTTTATGTCAAGTTGTCAGAAGCAAATCTCAACCAATGTCATCTCTGCATTTAAAATGGCATAACTGAGCTAATGACAATTAATAACAGTTGTCATAAACATGCATAAAATCTCATTCATATTTATCACGTGTTATGTCATGATTATAAAGGTGTCATGACAGTCTTATGAACCCCCTTCAAGAATAATCTATCTTTTTGTGTTTTATTGGCTTTTCCATTTGACTGATGGAAGCAGACACAATTATAATGGCCTTGTGACAATCATGTTTATGACAGATTTATTACAAGTCTTGATAATCTCAAGTTGTTAAAGCCAGGTTATGATGTGTTTATGTCAAGTTGCCATAAGCACAACTCAACCAATGTCATCTCTGCATTTAAAATGACATAACTGAGCTAATGACAATTAATGATAGTTGTCATAAACATAAAATCTCACTTATATTCATGACCTGTTATGTCATGTTTATAAAGGTGTCGTTGCAGTCTTATGAGCACCCCCTTCAAGATTAAACAATTTCTTTCTCTTGCATTGCCTTTTACGTTTGACCAATGAAAACAGACACAATTATAATGGCGTCATGACAGTCATGTTTATGACAGATTTATGACAAGTCTTGATAATAGACAAGTTGACAGGTTATGATGTGTTTATGTCAAGTTGTCATGAAGACTTCTCAATGTCATCTCTGTATTTAAAATGACATAACTGAGCTACTGACACTGACAGTTGTCAGAAACATGCATAAAATTTCATACATATTCATGACGTGTTATGTCATGATTATAAAGGTGTTATGGCAGTCTTATGAGCAACCCCTTCAAGAAAAAGTGTTACCTAATACTCTTTAAAATCTGATCCTGTCTATATGAAATGCATAATAATATATGAACTGACAGACCTGTTGCTATGACAGCAACTTATGATTGTATCAAATCATGATTCACCAATAAAGAGTGAACCCCAGGTGCCAAAACAGGCCCAAATTGATTAAATATATGTGAATATTAAATGCTAAGTTAATCAACTACTATTTAAAAACAAAAACAAAGTAGTCAGTAGGATCAATTGAGACTCCACAGACTGAGCATTAGAGAAAGAAACAAAATGAACAGCACCGGAGCATTGGACGATCCTCCCTCCTTCAACACACACTTCTCATAGGCGTCATAGTCCACTTCCCTCAGCGCACACACATGATCCACACGGCAGTCTGCGTGACACTCCGACAGGTCGTAGCTGACCGAGTTCAGCTCAAAGTACTTCTGTAGGGAACACTTTTCACTGGAAATCCGCTCCATCACACGGTGCATGGAGGCTGGAGAGGCGTCTGGCACGCGAAAGGCCTCCGTCAGGCGGTACTCCTTCTCCCAGCGCGCACGTGCAATGTTTGCATATGTCAGGTTCAGGTAGTAGGTGATGATGTCCTGTGGGATTTGTTTTGTTTTTAAAACCTTTTGCAATATATAGATGAAGTCAGAATTATTACCCCCCCCCCCCCCCCCCCAATTTTTCCCCCACTTTTTCAGCTCATTTCTGAACACAATAGTTTTAATAACTGATTTCTTTTATCTCTGTCATGATGACAGCACATAATATTTAATTAGATAAATTTCAAGACACTTCTATACAGCTTAAAGTGACATTTAAAGGCTTAACTAGATTAATAAGGCGAGTAATCAGGCAAGTCTTTGTATAACAGTGGTTTGTTCGATAAACAAATATTGCTTAAGGGGGCTAATAATATTGACCTTAAAATGATTTTAAAAAATTACAAAAAACTGCCAAAATAAAACATAAAACTTTCTTTAGAAGAAAAAATATTATTAGAAATACTGTGAAAATTTCCTTGCTCCATTAAATATCACTTCAGAATCGGTTCTTCATTCAAATAAGATCACTGCTGTGCAAAACTAATAATTATATATAATATTTATAAATATTTTATAACAGCGTCATTATTATTTCTAGAAATTTTAATGCTAATTTAATTTGTACCACTGTAGTTCAGTTCAAGAAAAACATTAATGAGGCTGTTATGATATTCATGACTGTTATAATGCCCTCATGACAATCATCATGTTTATGACAGATTTATGACAGGTTTTGATGTCATGTTGTAATGAAACAGACATCCAAACAGTGTCACCTTTGCATTTAAAATGTTTGCATTAAAAAGTTTCATGATTTAATTAAATTCATGTTTATTTATATAGCGCTTTTCACAATGTAGATTGTGTCATAGTTCTAGCAAAGTCCAGATTGCAGAGTTGAAGTTCTAGACATGAAGTAAAGCAGATTTTTTTTTTAAATCAAGAATCATTTAGTAATGGTATGGTGAATACCAGAAAAAGATTGGGTTGTGCAGTCCCTAAAGATTTGCAATTCTGGTAGAGGCATCCTACCTTGACAAGCAGTGTTTTTGTGTCATACTCGAAGATGCGTATTCCAGGATTGTTTCCGCCATCGATCACACCAGGCAATGTTGTTATCCATGGCGTAACTCCAGGAGTCAGGTACATCGCACTTATTGGAGATCCTGCGCAACAGCAGATTACATTTTAACAAACAAACAGTATTGTGCTTTTCACAATATACATGGCTTCAAAGCAGAGAATAACTCACATGTTAATGTTGCAAAATCAAGCTTACTTTTGAAAATGATTAAGTTACAGATTACAAATAACTCTACTTGAAATGTAATCAGCAGAGTAACTATTTCAGTTACTTTATTCTTGTGACTGATTGCTTTTTGGTTACTTCAGAATTTCTTTCAATCCTTCCCAATCATTCGTTCATTCATTTTCTTTTCGGCTTAGTCCCTTTATTAATCTGGGGTACCCACAGCGGAATGAACCGGCAACTTATCCAGGACAAGTTTTACGCAACGGATGCCCTTCCAGCTGCAACCCATCTCTGGGAAACCTTCCCAAACATATCAAAATGAAAAAATACTGCAGTGTTTATAATCATACTATAGTGATGTTCACAACAACAACTATAGGTATATATACTAATTATGTTTAAACACACACACAAACACACACGCATATGTACACACTCTCTCAACAGCGACTTTTTTAGGAACACCTGTCCAACTGCTCGTTAACACACATTTCTAATCAGCCAATCACATGGCAGCAACTCGCATTTAGGCATTTAGACATGGACAAGACAATCTGCTGCAGTTCAATCTGAGGATCAGAATGGGGAAGAAAGGGGATTTAAGTGACTTTGAATGTGGCATGGTTGTTGGTGCCAGACGGCTGGTCTGAGTATTTCAGAAACTGCTGATCTACTGGGATTATCATGCACAACCATCTCTAGGGTTTACAGAGAATGGTCTAAAAAAGAGACAATATCCAGTGAGCGGCAGTTCTGTGGGCGCAAATGCCTTGTTGATGCCAGAGGTCACAGGAGAATGGCCAGACTGGTTCCAGCTGATAGAAAGGCAACAGTAACTCAAATAAGCACTCGATACAACCGAGGTCTGCAGAAGAGCATCTCTGAACTCAACATGTCCAACCTTGAGGCGGATGGGCTACAGCAGCAGAAGACCACACCGAGTGCCGCTCCTGTCAGATAAGAACAGGAAACTGAGGCTACAATTCACACAGGCTCACCAAAACTGGACAATAGAAGATTGGAGAAACGTTGCCTGGTCTGATGAGTCTCCATTTCTGCTGCCACATTCAGACGTTGGGTCAGAATTTGCCATCAACAACATGAAAGCATGGATTCATCCTGCCTTGTATCAGCGGTTCAGTCTGGTGGTGGTGCTGTAATGGTGTAGGGGATATTTTCTTGGCACACTTTCAGTCCATTAGTACCAATTGAGCATCATATCGACGCCACAGCCTACATGAGTGTTGTTGCTGACCATGTCCATCCTGTTATGAGCACAGTGTCTCCATCTTCTGATGGCTACTTCCAGCAGGATAACACACCATGTCATAAAGCGTGAATCATCTCAGACTGGTTTCTTGAACATGACAATGAGTTCACTGTACTCAAACGGCCTCCACAGTCACCATATCTCAATCCAATAGAGCACCTTTGGGATGTGGTGGAACGAGAGATTCACATCTTGGGATTGATTCAGGTCAGGTGATTGGCTGAGGCATTCTAGCAGCTTTATTTTCTTTTCCGAAATTTTTGGCTTTTCATGCCATTTTTAATCTTCCCTTCTTCATGTGTTCAACACTTTTTATCCTGTTTCATTTCATTATATTTACATATTTAAATTTCCAAACCAAAGGATTACTTTGGTTGTTATGGACATCTGGTGAATATTTCAAGTCAACAACACCTTTATAAATGTATTTACTGAGAAAAATATGAATTGTAAATTCTGTAATATATATAGTAAAATACCTTTGGAGTTGTAAAACATGCGGAAGCTGTCGGTGTGGTGATGCCCGAAGAACTGGCCCATGATCACAGCACTGTGCTTCTGGATGAGCTCAATGTAGCGCTTATTAAACTCTTTTCTGAACCAGCCTTTATCCCGCTTCTTCTCAAACAGCCCTGGAGGAACGTGACCAATGAGGTAGACCTGTGTGGGACAGAAGGAAAGGGCTTCATGACCACTAACAGATAAACCGCTAGACCCGAATGGTATTCTGTATATGAATATACATAATAATGCTGTCAAAACATTCATTGTGATTAATAGAATTAAAATAAAACCACATATTTAAATAGGATGTAAATACTGTACTGTGCATATTTACTATATATTTACAGTTCAATCAGTATTATTTGCCCTTTTCCCTTTAACTGAAATAAGTTAAAGTTTTCAACATATTTCTAAACATAATAGTTTTAATAACTCATTTCTAATAACTGATTTATTTTATCTTTGCCATGATGACAGTGCATAATGTTTGAATAGATATTCTTCAAGACATTAGTATTCAGCTTAAAGTGACATTTAAAGGCTTAACTAGGTTAATTAAACAAGTTATGGTTATTATATAATGATGGTTTGTTCTGTAGAGAATCAAAAACAAATCTAGCTTAAAGGGGCTAATAATATTAACCTTAAAATGGTGTTTAAAAAATTTAAAACTGCTTTTATTCTAGCCGAAATAAAACAAATAAGACTTTCTCCGGAAGAAAAAATATTATAGGAATTACTGTGAAAATTTCCTGAGTCTGTCAAACATCATTTGGGAAATATTTGCATATAATTACCTTCTCGTTATTTTTGGCCGCATCCTGAAGCACTTTATCAGCCCAGCTGAACTGATCTGCAGGATCTTTGACTTTCTCTGTCAGTTTGTTCTGATCATAATAAAGGTTTGTGTTGAGGACAATGACTCTCAATCCAGTCTGATTCAGCAGCTTTTCAGTGTAATATCCACCTGAGAAAGAGCAGAAATTAATAATGTTCATTCATTCATTTTCTTTTGGGCTTAGTCCCTTTATGGGTCGCCAGAGTGGAATGAACCGCCAGCTTATCCAGCACGTTTTATGCAGTGAATGGGAGGCAGTGTGTCCATATGATTCACACAACATGAGGTCGAATTTATTTTTTAACAAGCGAAAATTACGAACAAAAATGTCAGATTAGTGTGCAATTACGGCTGAAAGCTGTGGAATTAAAACCAGAGAAATGCAACACTTCCACACACAAACCCCAAAAGTTGCGTTAACTAAACCATTTGAGGAAACCGATTCCAACAAACCATTTAAGTTGAAAAAAAACTAATCTATATGAGTACTGTGAACTTACTCCATTTAGGTTGAAGTAATGAGGTATTTAATTAACTCATTACCTTCAACACTGAGGTCAAAACTCTTTTCAAATGAGTAGAACTAACTTTCAGTCAATTTTGAGTTAACTACACTCATTTCATTTGATAAAGTTGACTGTTTTACAGTGCAGTATTTGTTTTCTCTACTATGGATGTGCTTATAGGTTTCCAATATTCTTCAAGACATCTTATTTTGAGTTTAACAGAACAAAAAAAGTCAAACTAGTTTCTAACAAGTTTTTGTTTTGGGGTGAACTGTCCCTTTAAAACAGCTTCTAAAATAACTTCTCTGGACAAACCCTTCGAAACTTACGAGATAATAAGTCAGCAAAATATACAGCATAACACCATTCTAGTGTTTTTTTTTTTTTTTTTTTGAATATTTTAGGAACAAATCTTATTTAACAGTGAGCTGCTGTGTTTGATACCTGTTTTGAAGGTTTCCTGTGAGGCAGTGTGGAGCCAGTCACGCCACAGGTTTGCTGTTTGCTCGTAAATGGTGCTTTTTGCTGGAGGCATTTGGTTCTTTGGATGGTAGTCATGATTTCCCATTGCAGAATACACCTTGGTTTCTGAAGATATACAACAAGTTTCATACACTGTTAAAAAATGCAAGGGTCATCTTGCCCCAACACATTATTTAGGTTAACCTAATTGTTTTCGCAAATTTAAGTGGCTTGAACATAAAACAAGTTCTTCACCTCCCAAAAAAAAAAAAAACCTCAAGAATTGTGCTGATTTAACTCATTTAAAAAAAGCTGTGTGAAGACGCGGTACAGTAGGGAAAACCGTCATGCAGCGAGTGGGTCTACTGAAGGACGTACTGGGAAAAGTGCTCTTGATGATGTTAGTGAGGTTGCCGATTATTCTGAGCACAGCCTGTTCTCCCAGCTGATCATCAGGAACATGAGGAGTATCATCTCTGTTAAGATCAAGAGCTCAGTCAGGAGAAAGATATATCATAATAAATAAAATATATATATTATATAATATTATAAAAAATACAGTTGAAGTCAGAATTATTAAACCCCCTAATTATTAGGTTAGGGTAAATAGGCGAGTTATTGTATAACGATGGTTTGTTCTGTAGACTATCAAAAAAATAAATATAAAGGGGCCTATAATATTAACCTAAAAATGGTGTTTAAAAAAATCAAAAACTACTTTTAATCTAGCCGAAATAAAACAAATCAGTCTTTCTCCAGAAGAAAAAATATTATCAGACATACTGTGAAAATTTCCTTGCTCTGTTAAACATCATTTGGGAAATATTTAAAAAAGGGGAAAAAAAATCAAAAATGGACTAAAAATTCTATCTTCAACTGTATATATTTTAATTATGGTACTGCCCATTTATTTCTAATTGGACAAATTATGGAGGACTTAAATTGGACTTAAAGAAGACTTAACAATGTTGAATCAAGTCCTCTTTTTTTTCCACTCACATAAAAGAAGTGTGAGTCTAAGTGTTTGACATGATGAGCATTTCTAGAGTTCACACTTAGCTGATGATTGATTATAAAGCTTGTTTGGCATGCTGTCCTGGGAGAGAGCCCTGAGCTCTTAAGATTCTCGAGCTAGGGGCTCCCTCCCGTTTGCAGGGGAGTATGAGATCAGGTAGAACTCGAGAACTCCCCTGCTGTAGTAGCTAATGAACAGTTAGTGATCGCTCTAAAGAGATAACCATTTACTAGGAGCATGTCTATGGGGCCGATTTGGATTAGTCAATTAACTTAAGTTGCATGTTTTTGGACGGTGGGAGGGAACCCGGGGAAAACCCACGTGTGTACGGGAAGAACGTGTAAACTCCACACAGAAACTTCTGCTGGCTTGGTAAGGACTAGAACCAGTGATGTTCTTGCTGTGAGGCAACAGTGCTAACCACTGGGCCGCAGTGCCACCCATCTAGGAAAGGAGGAGGAGTAGGGGTGGGAGGCGGATTCTTCAAAATGAACATGGCTGTGATATGGAACTGAGGGTATTTAGAGTGGCTTAGGAATCGTCTGATTGGTGAATCATAAATTGGCTAATGCAGGACCTGCTGTGGTCAATCATAAGCACGTGATCCTCTCGAAATCATGTTGTGTAGGCTTGAAATGGTTTAAATTTTTGTATTTCCCATTCAGAAAAGTTTTTTTCCCCCCAACTATTTAAAGGAACACTTTACAACTTTACAAGAACTCATTTTACAAGCCTCCTAGAGTTTACCAGTTGATTGAACCATGTTTTAATTTATTGAGACAACTTCTTGTTCTGGTGGTCTCACTTTTACCTCAGCTCAGAAAACTCAATTTTTATAAAAATTTTTTTTTTTTACAAATTGCTAATAGTCAAATCTGATCAAATGCTCTATGCTAAGTTAAGCTAAAAAGTGTCTCCCCCAGAACAAGAAATTGGCGGAATGGATAAAAAAAAAGCTTTATAAAATAATATTTTTTATTTTTAAATGTGGAGTGCATGAGTACTCTCGGAAAAAGTCTCAGTAAAACTGCTTATATTAAGGGAACTGTATTTATAAAATCTAAATACAATTGTCCATAAATGTCCTATAGAGTGCTTAAAGGTTAACAGGGATTGCTTTTATTGGAATTGAACCCTTTAAAAAAATGCAGATTCATTCCCCCGCATTTAATAAATCTTTCTCATATAAACCCCCCTAATGATGATTGATGCAAACTCACTTACTGTTAAAGTCAAAATGGTTTGCCCTCCTGTGAATTATCTTTTCTTTTTAAAAATATTTCCCAAATGATGTTTAACAGAGCAAGGACATTTTCACAGTATGTCTGATAATATTTTTTCTTCTGGAGAAAGTCTTATTTGTTTTATTTCAGCCAAAATAACACAAGTTTTAACTTTTTTTACAACCATTTTGAACTTAATGTTATTAACAATATTTGTTTTGAATTGTCTAACAGAACAAACCACTGCTGTACAATAACTTGCCTAATTACCTTAACTTGTTAACCAAATTAACTTAATTAAGCCTTAAAATGTGACTTTAAGCTGTGTAGATGTGTCTTGAAAATATCCAGTCAAATATTATGTGCTGTTATCATGGCAAAGAGAAAACAAATCAGTTATTAGAAATAAGTTATTAAAACTATTATGAATATAAATGTGCTGAAAACTTCATCTTTCAGTAAAACAGAAATTGAGGAAAAATATAAATAAAAACTGTACATAATCAGATGGTTTTGACATCGAGTTTGCAGGGCTCATACCCGGTCCACATGATGAAGTCCGGATCGGGCAGGATCTCTCTCATGGCGGTCAGGGAAGAGTTGATCAGACTCCAGGGTGAGTCGCAGACATAATCTCCATATCGGCCTGCATGTGGAGTCGGTCGGCCTCCGCTGGAAGCACACTTTGACTGAGAGCTGCTGGATAAATCATATGAAGGGTCCCAGTGGAGGTCTGAGATGTGCCAGAAATAACCTGCAACAAATAAACAGAGATTACTGACATGCACACTGAAAAAAACAACCCCTGTTAACCCTCAAGCACTCTAGAGGACACTATGGACATTTGTTTTAGATTAAAAAAAAAATAGTTTCCTTGATCTGAGAAGTTCAAGACTTGCCAGAGAAGAACATGCGGGACCACCTGTCAAAATTTGATTGATGACAGCCCCGCCCTTTAGGGCGGGACTTTCACTTTAAGCTCGGGCCCTTTATATATTTTGTATAATCATTAGAATCTTATCAATTTAATTAAATTAAGTGATATATTATAATTCTGGTAATTTGATTCTTTTCAAGCTATTTAAATTATATATTCGGTAATTAAAATGTAATCAAGCTCATTAAATTAAATTATATATTATAATTCTGGTAATCAAAATGTAACCAAACTAATTAAATTAAATTTTATATTACAAATCCGGTAATTAAAATTTAATCAAACTAATTAAATTAAATTATATATTATAATTTGGTAATTAAAATTTAACTAAACTAATTAAATTAAATTATATATTATAATTCTGGTAATTAAAATGTAACCAAACTAATTAAATTAAATTATATATTATAAATCTGATAATTAAAATGTAACCAAACTAATTATTTAAATTATAAATTATAAGTCCGATAATTAAAATTTAACCAAACTAATTAAATTAAATTAAATATTATAATTCCGGTAATTAAATTGTAATCATACTAATTCAATTATAATTCTGGTAATTAAAATTTATTCAAACTAATTAAATTAAATGATACATTATAATATCGGTAATTATATTCTAATCAAATTAATTTAATTATTTCTGTTAGTGGAACCGTTATTATAGTTTAATTATATTATGTAGATTAAACTATTAATATTAGTATATTATATTGTATTATATTATAATTGATAAACTATTATTCTAAACATTTACTGTTCAGGCTTATACTATTCTGTGTTTGCTGTGTGTATTTTAAATGTAGTAAATGTTCAACTTAGTTTGTTAGTTTAAATTTAGCCTATATGAATTGTTTGCCACCGCTTACCTTAAATTGTTTTTTTTTTAAATGTAGTAAATCCAACAAATCATTTATTTCAGTGCACAATCGGAGGCTATTTTGCATAATGGAAAACTGCTAGTTGGGTAATTTCATATTTTCAGATGCACAATAAGATATTAATGGCCTAATACTTTTAATTGCATTTTATTAAAAATAACAATGTTTAGATGTTGTATTTCATGTCATTTGTAAGAAACAGCTCCTGTGTTCAGAATTATTTTTTTTTTAAAAATGTAAATTTACTTGATTCTTGATGTGATTTTTGACTGTTTTAACTAAAATAATCAAGCGCAGTCATATATGGAGCAGTAATGAGGTCAAACCTGCCTGGAACTACTTTAGATGTGCATTTATCTAAAAATAACAGCTGGCTTTAGAATGTGCATCACCCAATCAGAGTCAAGCATTCAACAGCCACATTGCAGTAATAAGTATATTGTTAATAATAATAATAATAATAATACATGTAATTACATAATAACATAGCATGAAAAACCTCACAAAATAAATAAAATCAATAATAATAGATCTAATAACAACCACAAATAGTTTATTTTAAAAATGAATTAAGCAAAAATCACATTGTAAATCATTTCCATTATTATTATAATTATTATTAGAGACATGGTCACACTTTACAATAAGCTTCAGTTCGCATTATTCATAGTTCAACATTTACTTATGCATTATTAATATTCAAAAAGCTAATGTCAACAAAGATGACAGAATACTGTTATAAATGCATTGTTAGTATTTAAAAACACAATCTAATGTTAATTTATTGTAGTGTTACCGTGTTCATTTTGCCAGATAATAAAAACGGGAGAATAAAATATTTCTTGTCCAAAAGTCCCTCTGATATTTCTATAAAACATGTGTTATATAATGTATTTAATTTAGCAGTTATTGCTGAATTTACTACTTGAATGTGTATGAAGTTGGCTCTTGAGTAAGCCATTAGAACATGCACTGTGCATTTTGCCTGTCAAATAATTGCAGTAAAGAGATACCTGTCAGCGCGTCACTTCTACCGAAGACGATGAAAATGCTGAGCAGAATACATTTCCACATGCAAGCCATAGTGAGACTGAGTGAATCTGCTCTAAACTCAGTCCACAGTCGTCCATAAACTGACAGATAAGAATCGTCAGCTGGAGCAAACGCTATAGCTCACGATAACCCAGTCTTAAAGAGACAGTACACCTTCAAATGAAGGTTTACTCATTATTTAAGTTATTTCAAACCTTTTAACAAAGTTAAACTCAAAAGAAGATATTTTGAAGAATGTTTGAAACCTTTAACCATTGACTTTAATGGAATAGAATGGAAGTGGTTACTGGTTTCCAAAATATTTTCTTTTGCATTCAACTTTGTTAAATGTTAAACTGTTTTAAGAAGATATTTTAAAGAATGTTTAAAACCTTTAACCACTGACTTCCATAGTATGTAAGTCAATGGTTACCAGTGTCCATCATTTTTCAAAATATCTTCTTTTACATTCAACTGTGTTAAATGTTAGTTAGACTGTGTTAAACTGTTAAATGCAACTGAAGATATTTTGAAGAATGTTTGAAACCTCTAACCATAGACTTTCAATATTATGGAAGTCAATGGTTACCAGTTTCCCACATTTTTAAAAATATCTTCTTCTGCATTCAACTGCGTTAAATGTGTGTTTTCCTGTAACCATTCACTTTCATACATATTCAACTGTGTTAAACTTTGTTAAATGTTAAACTGTGTTAAATGCAAGAGAAGATATTTTGAACAATGTTTGAAACCTGTAACCCATGACTTCCATAGTATGGACAACATTTTTCAAATAATCTTCTTTTGCATTCAACTGTGTTATATGTTAAACTGCTTTTCAAAAAATATTTTGAAGGATGTTTAAAACCTGTAACCATAGAATTTGATAATATGGAAGTCAATGGATTTCCATCATTTTTCAAAATATCTTCTTTTGCATTTAACTGTGTTAAATGTTAGTTAGACTGTGTCAAACTAAGTAGAATGCAAAGGAAGATGTTTTGAAGAATGTTTGAAACCTGTAACCATTACAACCATAGAATGAAAGTCAATAGTTACCAGTTTCTATCATTTTTAAAAATATCTTCTTTTGCATTTAACTTTGTTAAATGTTAAACTGTTTTTAAAAAGATATTTTGAAGAATGTTTGAAACATGTAACCATTGACTAACATAGTATGAAAGTCAATGGTTACCAGTTTACATATATATATTTTTAAATATCTTCTTTTGCATTCAGCTGTGTTAAATGTTAGACTGTGTTGAATGCAATGAAGATGTTTTGAAGAATTTTTGAAACCTGTCACCATAGACTTTTCAAAGTATTGAAGTCAATGGTTACCGGTTTCTAACATTTTTCAAAATATCTTCTTTTGCATTTAACTGATGTTTACCTGTAACCATTGACTTTCATACATATTTAATTGTGTTAGACTGTGTTGAATGCATAAGAAGATATTTTGAAGAATGTTTGAAACCTGTAACCATTTACTTACATACTATGAAAGTCTATGGTTACAGGTTTCGAACATCTTTCAAAATATCTTCCTTTACATTCAACTGTTAAACTGTGTAAAACAATGTTTGAAACCTGAAACCATCGACTCCCATTCCGTAGAAGTGAATACTTACCAGTTTCCAACATTTTTCAAAATATCTTCTTTTGAATTCAACTCAAATCTATTAAATGTTAAACTGTGTTAAATGCAAACAACAATATTTTGAAGAATGTTTGAAGCCTGTAACCATTAACTTGCATAGTATGGAAGTCAATGGTTACCGTTTTCTAACATTTTTTAAAATATCTTCTTTTGTGTTTGTTTACCATAGAAAAGAAAGTCCAACAGGTTTGTGATGAATGAAGTGCAAGTAAATGATATCAACATTTTTACGTTTGAGTGAACTGTCCCTTTAAATCTCGCCAGCTGTTTTTAAATGTTGAAGAGGAATCAATCCGCCAGACATTTGTTACTGTCAGCTGCTGTTTTGAGGGTTTGACAGTAATGCAGTCCTTATACTGTACAGAAACTGGATGAACATATGTGGCCTCGTGCTATGAAAGATTACATGTCGCTAGATTTATAATCCCTCATTTTCTAACAAAACCCCATAATGCAAAGCAAATCAGTGTTAAATTGATCTGAAATGCATATACATGTCAGAAATACTGTCCGTCATAATTATACAAGGGTGTAAAGTACTCGAGTTACTGTACTTCACACTTTGCACTTTAATCTAGTCTAGAAGTCGTCTTGCTGTACTAATGACAGGAAATCAAACAGCCTTGAATGCCTTCAACTGGAGTGAATGGTATAGCCCAGTCTTAAAGAGACAGTACACTCTAAAATAAAAGTGTATTCACTGTTTACTCTCTCTCAAGTGGTTCCAAACATTTAACACAGTTGAATGTAAAGGAAGATATTTTGCAGAATGTTTGAAATCTGTAATCATTTACTTCTTTAGTGTGGAAGTCAATGGTTACTGGTTTTCAACATTTTTCAAAATATCTTCTTTTGCATTTAACTGTGTTAAATGTTAAACTGTGTTAAATGCAAAAGGAGATATTTTGAAGAATGTTTTAAACCTGTAACCACTGACTTCTATAGTATGGACATCAGTGGTTACTGTTTTCTAACATTTGTATAAATATCTTCTTTTGCATTCAACTGTGTTAAATATTAAACTGTTAAATGCAAAAGAAGATATTTTGAAGAATGTTTAAAGCCTGTAACCATTGACTTCTCTAGCATGGAAGCCAATGGTAACTAATAAGAGGAAATCAAATAGCCATGTATGTTTTACAATTGTACATATTGACAGATAAATAAATGACTTGTAATTCTAATTTCAAAGTCATTTTTTTTGTTTTTTTATTTTGTGTGTTTGTTGGCGTGTTGGTGTGGGTTTCCTCCGTGTGCTCCGGTTTCCCCCGCAGTCCAAACACATGCACTATAGGGGAATTGGGTAGGCTTAATTGGGCGTAGTATTTGTGTGTGTAAATGAGTGTGTATGGATGTTTCCCAGTGATGGGTTGCAGCTGAAAGGGCATCCGCTGTGTAAAACATATGCTGCATAAGTTGGCGGTTCATTCCGCTGTAGCGACCCCTGATTAATAAAGGGACTCAGCCGAAAAGAAAAGAATGAATGAGAAATATTTAACAATTATTCATTCATTTTCTTGTCGGCTTAGTCCCTTTATTAATCTGGGGTCGCCACAGCGGAATGAACCGCCAACTTATTCAGCAAGTTTTTACGCAGCGGATGCCCTTCCAGCCGTAACCCATCTCTGGGAAACATCCACACACACATTCACACACACTCATACACTATGGACAATTTAGCCTACCCAATTCGCCTGTACCGCATGTCTTTGGACTGTGGGGGAAACCGGAGCACCCAGAGGAAACCCACGCGAAGGCAGGGAGAACATGCAAACTCCACACAGAAACGCCAACTGAGCCGAATCTCGAACCAGTGACCTTCTTGCTGTGAGGCGACAGCACTACCTAACTGCCTCGCCCAAATATTTAACAATGTGCCTAAATTATCAAATCATTCGGCTTAGTTCCCTTTATGTAACAGGAGTCGCCACAGCGGAATGAACCGCCAACTATTCCAGCAAATGTTTTATGCAGCGGATGCCCTTCCAGCCGCAACCCAGTACTGAGAAACACCCATACACACTCACATTCAGACACACTCATACACTTTGGCCAATTTAGTTCATAAATTATTATTAAAATGTGATTGAGCACAAACACGTCATCAAGAACATGATATTAGTTTTTAATTTATAATTTTTAATAATATTTGATTGTTGTTGAATTTTATATTTTTTTAAAAATATAAAAGATTAATAATAATAATAATAATAACAATAAAAAACGCGTGTGTATGTCAACGCCTCTTTTTGAAGAGTTAACCAATCGGTATAAGCATCTTCTCATTAATATTCATGAGGTAAGCATTCGCCATAAAAAGGCTTGTAATTTGCCAAGTCGCTTAAGGATTCATCATTAACTCGATTAATTTCATTTGAAACAAAATGTTCAAGCCATAATACACAGAAATGTAGCCATGTTTAATTAGACGAATGTATAAATGAAACTAAAAGGCCAGTGTGCAGTTGACTGTGTGGTGTTTTGTGGGTTTCGGGTGAGTCACTTCTTCAGGGACTTCCTCTTTAAACTCTAGATTTGTGAAGCAGAAGATCAGTTCATATTAGTTCAGATCTGCCGGTGGAGAGATGGGAGACCTCCAGTCCCTGCAAGCCTTCATCAACTGTCTGGATCAGCGCTCTCTGCCCCGCATCCTTCAGGTCTGCTCGGGGGTTTATTTTCAAGGTATGTGCGTATGCTTTCACTCACTTTTCACAGGCTGTATGTGATCATTTCTCCACAAGGAAAAAACAACAACAAGAGACTGAAAGGTGTTCTTATAATGGGATATTACATCCAAAAATGAACATTTTGTCATTATTAATAATACAAAAGGGGTTTGGTGGTTCGAAAGACCCACCCCTCACTAATAAAAGGTCCAGAATTTGCCCCATAAGTGAGCTCATTTGTCTTATTTTGACTGCTATGCGTCATAGTTTGTGAAAATAATCCATCAAACAAGGCTTCCAATGACTGCAAACAATTATTTTTCATGAGTCCAACATGCAGCTGTGCAATATGACAAAAGTGAAGTCCTCTTTCACTACAAGTAGCCCAGCTTTTATTAAGAATCTTGGACCTTAATTTAGAAAGAAAAAATACCATTAAAAAGGTTTGAAGCACCAAAAGTGGCCCATGTACTGGCCAGTGTGTTATTTGCCCACTAAATGACAATAGGCTACTTTTTTTTCTTCTTTCATTTAAAACTTTAACTCTTTTTCTTCTTCTTATGATTCATGATGTAATGAATATGTATTTAAAAACAATTACTTTTTCATATTTCTTTATTCTCTATCATTAGGTAATGTTACAATAAACTACTAATTAGCTGCTTATTAATAGTTAGTAAGGTAGTAGGTCGTAGTTGGGTAGGATTAGAAATGTAAAATAAGATCGTACTCGATATGTGCTAATAAGCAGATGATATCTTAAAAATAGAAATGGTAATAGAATAGGTAATAATGCAATAGTAAATGGTGTGAATTGTTTTATATATATATATAT